GTATAAGAGACAGACTTTAGCCTCCTTGGGTAGATCACTGGCATGGGAATTTTAGTCTCCTGCCTCATACTTTGGACCCAGAAGCGTCTCCTTAATTCCTTGTGTAGAAGGAAGGAGATCTCGACAGGACAAAGAGCCAGCACAAAGCTGTGGGGTGGAGAGGACCTGCCACCAAACCGAATCTCATCTGGGAAGACTGGCCAATTCAGCTCTTCTGCCGGCTATCAGCTGGGGGAAAATTGCTCGAAGGAGGTACGGAAGGCTCTTAGTGCACATTTTTTTTGCTTTAAATAAACTTCTTACAGCAGAATGCTTTAGTTCAAAACCAAGCAGACCATCACAGCGAAGAAACTCCACAGTTACTGTGGTGGGAGTTGAAAGCTCAGTTCAAAAATTTGCGTTAAAAAAAAAAAAAAAAAAAAAAAAAAAAAAAAAAGCAGTTTCCAGGAGCTGTTGCGGGCTGTCCGTGGGGCATCCAATCAGAAAGCTGGGCTGGCAGGGGTTTATTCGCTTCTTCATGGGGTTCTTACCCTGTGTTGTCGGGTCTTTCTGCTCTCTGCGTGCCTCTGTCTTGCTTGACGTGGCGAAAGACCTCCCCATCAGCTCCTCACAGTCTAGTCCAGAAGAGGGAACAAAGGGAACCTGCTACCATCGCAACTGGCACAAAGCTGACCCTCACGCTCCCTGCGCCGTCAACGTTGCACAGGTCAGAGTAACAGCAGGAGACGGGGCGTGTCATGCCAATCCCATCCACGTCGGACGGGACGCAGACGGAAGAGCACATCTTGGTGGCGGTCGAGACTCCCACGAAGGGATAAACTACAACAAAGAAAGCACGGTTAGCAAATGGCAGAAATGGAGGAGAACCCTCCTCATCCCTAGCGAAACGCTGGCCGCCTTCGAGACCAAGGGTTTAGCTCCACTTCACACACAATTGTTCTACTTCCTACCAGGAAATATTTCCCACCGAGTGGCCGCAAGCTGAACAGCACCTTGCATCCTCTGTGTCCTGCCTGGATCAGCTTTACCCTGAAAAAAGGGCAGTTAGGCACTTTTTCTGCCTCTGCTTTTACTCTACTCTCTATCCCCTGCCTCTCCCATGTGCAACCAAAGCCTTATCAACAGGACCACGTAAAGGAGGTCTTCATCTTCCTCCGTCTTCACGGTCCATTTCTTGATTCGGACAGGTTATGGCCTGTAGGGCCACCAGTCAGACTGACGAGGCCTTCCTGAGAGCTCCAGAGAACCCAAGGGCATTTTGGTTTTGCCTCCAGATAACCGGAGGTTGGTGTCACCCACCTCACTAAGTCTGGCTGATCTCTACCGACCTCTCTACTCCAACCAGCTTTCACCAAGAGTTGTCGGGTCAGGAGAGCGCTGTTTAACCCACACCCATTGTGTGAGTCATGCAGACGGTCTGGAGAGCCAGAACTCTTTAGCTCCATGGCTCAAGATCAAGTCAACGTGCTTTTTCTAACCACGCTCAACACTAAGCCTGAACTATGAGCTCGTATTCACTAAGTCCTCGCTCCTATGAAAACTGCTTTCCGTAACAGCAGGAGACTGCTTTCTGCCCTGTGGGAGCTGTCTTCCAGCTTTACATATTTAAATAAGAAAAGGTACTGCTCCCCCACACCAGCAGCCTCCACTGTAGAAAGACCCACTCATGTTAAAAATAGAGATAAAGAAGTAATTGTCCTTACCGTCCTCCAGGGAATACATAGTAGTCTTGCACATGGTTTCATTCTTCGTGCAGTTCTGGACCGTCACACACTTGTCAACAGGAGTCGGTTCTTGGCAAGTGTAACATTGCAAGGTTTGCACTGCAAGGAGAAAAAACATGAGGCTGGTCTTAGCGTGGGCCATCAGATTCTGTCCGTGCCCCTCCAGGTACCTCTGAGGAGGGCGTCTTTCCAAAATTTTCATGCCGAGAACAGGAATGGAATAATAAAAGGTGTCTGCGCCAATAAGAATGAGAAAAGCAGTGGTCTAGTGGTCAAAGCACAGCCTCAGGTGTGGCTTCAGACCCCATGTAACAAGTCAAGCGAGACAGAGCCACACACACAGAAGACCCCATGATACAGGTAAGACCTTGCAGCTGGTTTACCTCAACTCTGTTCTCACTTTGGATCTTCTTTTCTCCTTGCCTTTGCGTTAACAGAGCATCAGAAAGAGATCATAGACTCACGAACTCGCAGAATTACAAGATGATGGGGGCCAGAGTCATCGAGTCCCATCACCCTGCTCAGGCAGGACCATCTAGAGCCAGTTTCCCAGGACTGTGTCCAGCTGAAGCTTTAATATCTCCGGAGATGGAGACTGACCGACTTCCCTGGGCAACCTGTGCCAGTGTTCAGTCACCCTCACAGTAATAAAGTGATTCCTGATGTTCAGAAGGACCCTCCTGGATTCCAGTTGGTGCCCATTGCCTCTGGTCCTGGCACTGGGAACCACCAAAAAGAGCCTGACTTCATTCTCTTTGCACCCTCCCTTCAGGTATTTATAGACATTAAGATCCCTCCTTGAGCCTTCTCTTCTCCAGGCTGAATAACCCCAGTTCTCTCAGCTTTTCCTCAGAGGAGAGATACTTGTGGCCCTTCATTAGACTCTCTCCAGTATATCCACAGCTGGGGAGCCCAGAACCCCATGTGTGGCCTCACCAGTGATGAGTCGAGGTGAAGGATCGCCTGTCTTGACCTTCAGGCAACGTTCCATCTCATGCAAACCAGAACACCTTTAGCCTTCTTTGCTGCAAGGGCACGTTACTGGCTCATGGTGAATTTGCTGTCCACCCAGATCCCCAGATCTTTTTTGGATGAATTGTTTTCCATATGGATGGCCCCCAGCATATATTGGTGCATGGGTTTGTTCTTCCCGAGGGGCAGGACTTTGTACTTCCCCTTGTTGAATGCCATGAGGCTCCTATGAGCCCATTTCTCCAACCTGTCCCTCCGGATGGCAGCGTGACCCTCTGGTGTATCAGCCACTCCTCCCAGTTTTGTGTCATCCGCAAATTTGCTGAGCGTGAGCTATGCCAAATCATGCAGATCACTGCTGATGTTAAACAGGACCAGACCCAGTATTGACCTCTGGGTTACACCTCAGGTTACTGGCCTTCAGGCAGACTTTGTACCACTGATCACCACCCACCGGGCCTGGCCATACAGCCAGTTTTCAATCCGCTTCACTGCTCATCCAGCCCATACCTCAACAGCTTGTCAGTGAAGATCTTCCGGGATCCTACCAGGCCAGTCACTTCATCACACAAGTTTATCAAGTTGGTCAAGCATGACTTCCCCTTGGTGAAGGATCGGGATCACAGAAAAGCCAGAGTTGAAGCAGGGAGAATTTCATCTGGTGTTGTCCACTCTTCTATCTCTTTCCAAAGACTGGGAGCTCTCGGATAGGAGTGTGTCCCAGAGAGAAAAAAACTATCTCCATCAAATTTACCAAGCCATGAGAACAAACTAAGTACAACCCTTCCCCTGTGCTGAGATTCTGGTTTCATGGGAAGAATGTGTAAGAAGTTATTTTAAAAAGATGAGAGTGGCCACAATACTAGAATCCATGGGGATATGTACTACTCTAGGCAGAGACCACAGAAACAGACTTTGGTACCCAGGTCTCCAAATCCAGTCCGAGGTAGCTCGCTCTGCCTCATCACTCACCAGTTCATAGATGCTCTTCATCAGGTCCCTGTAGAGCTGCAAAGGCCCTTGCAAGGCTGCAGATGCCAGCTGGCTCCTAGACACGCAGAATAACCACAGCCCAAGTCTGTCAGTGCCTAAAGACTTTTGAGATGGAGAGAGGCACTCTCAGAGCCCAGACTGTTGCGATGCAGCATTTCCAGAGCACTCCAAGCTAAAGATCTCAAGCCAAAAATAACATCTGGTATTTCCTAACACCAAGGAAGCCATTTCTGGACAAGCTTTTCAGGGAACTTTCTCTCTGAAGGTCTTTCTGAGGAACGCAACATTTGATTGATCTAGGTCCTCTCTCTACCCACTAGCAGGCATTGTGTATGCTTCAGGCATAGCAAAATATTTTGGTACAATCACAGAAAGAAGTTCTCACCCCATCTGCGTGACAGCCCTGCTGAAACCCCTTTTAATCCCCACTGAAAAAGAAAAACAATTCAGCTCATCTCAGCACACCTAAAATGTGGTGTCGTAACAGGAGGCTCAGGCAAGCAAACCACCTTATAAAAATGGATAATGCAACTTCACCCCAACTAGCAAGCCAGGAAGAGCCCTTTTATAAACAGACACAGAATTTTTCTTGCTTTTGTTCAAAGCAAACTTTATTATTCTGTTTTGCCCATTGTGGACTGATGCTTTGTTTGCATTAATTCTATGTCTGACAGCTATCAAATACAATCTTTAGGGAGGAAGTTTAGTCACTATTCTCAGATTTCATTATACTCGTCACCCGACAAGTGAAAGACGCAGCATTTGTGTTCCTCTTTGAAAAAAAAAAAAAAAAAAAAAAAACCAGAACAAAACAAAACAAAAACCCAACCAACCAACCAAACAAAAAACCCCCAAACAAACTCAAGGATAAGTACTAACGGGAAATCAAATTAAGAGATCTTTGTCCCCAACATGTGAAAGCCCCATTTTTTCATTAGCCTGATTCAGACTAACAGGTTCAAACACAGCTAAATATGTTAAATAGTAGTTATAGATATCTTTCCTTTTTTTGAGGTGGAAAAGGTAGCAGATCAGGATGTGTTTAATGCACTAAATATCCAAAAGCTGGAACGAAACAACTTTACTTTTGCGAACGAGGCGGCTCCTCAGCCGCAATAGTCAGCTGTCATCTCACAGAGCAGAAAGGAAACACCATGACTTGGAGATTTAAAGACCTGTGGTCTAAAAGCCCTGTTTTAAGCAAGGTTTAAAATATCTATCTGGCCTGTTTGCGAAGGGTAGATATTTGTGAATGTAAAAAAAAAAAAAAAAACCAACACGGTACTGGTTTCTTTTTGTTTTAAGAGCCTAAAGCCTTTTAAGAACTTGAACACAAACAAGCAGACCTGCAGTAGCCTGAAAATAAAATTACACTATAGAAAGGAATAGAGGCGTATTAGAAGTCTTATTTATAAGGAGAGGTAAATATAAAATGCTAAAATATTTCAATGTTGTTGTAGCACATTCTTTCTAGAGTGCTGAAAGCAAAAGGGGAGGTAAAATAGAAGAAAATCTTGGGATTTCTTATAAGGGATTTTACTAGCATCGCTTGGATATTGGCAGATCTTCCATCCTTCAACTCTGCCTGTCTTTCCAGGAAATGCCAAAATTACACAGACTCCATTAATGTCCAGGGGAAAAAAAAAAAAAAAAAAAAAAAAAAAAAAACCCAAACAACTAAAGGAACTGCAAATACATCGTGGTTTTGTCCCAGTTTTGCAGAGGAGAGAGTGTGTAGAATAAATTTGCCAACGTTTGCCTGTCAAATCAAAGCATCCATCCTGATTCTGCTGACCTGAATGGAACAGAGAAAGTGGGGGACGGACAAGGATGGCAGCGCTGGGCCACAGCAGGGATGCCCAACTCCTGGCAAAGTCTCATTAAGCAGGAGGGTAAAATTTAGGTTGGTGAGTCAATCCTAGACCAAATTTGTATCCCACCCCATTGATTTCCTGCTACATTCTGCCTTTCAGATTCTTGCCCATCCCTTAAGGACATCTGCCCATGGAGTCCCCTCATCTCCAAGCCATTCTCTGTTAATTAACAATGTTCCTCTCTGAACTGCTGTCTCTCCATTGGCAAGCAGTCACAAATCCTCAGAATGAGCAGGTATAAAGATGAAAGGAAATATCTTGTGCTGCAGAGACCAGTGATGACTGATCTCTACTGTAGCAGCTGTGGTGAGCACATGAAGCTCCCATTGATCCTGACAAAGCACAAGGCTTCGAACTCCTAGTGACCAGAGCCATGTCTTAGAGATAACAGGTCAGTCAGTGCACTACATAAAAGAGAGGGCTACTGTTCCAGCTCTGGGTCTGTCTCTCCAAACAGCAGTTGTATTCTCCCCAAAAAATCCTCCAAACCCTCCTTCTCCAACCATTTGTCCCTCTCTTGCTGAATCTGCTGTGCAACCTCAAAAAAAATGGAGGAAGGAAAAATATCCTCACGTTTTGGCTTACAACATAAGAAGGAAATAAATGCAGAGGGGAAAATCCTAACGGAGATCCACCTCCCAATCACAGATAAAATCAGACCCAACACTGCCTGGGTCTAGAGGAGTAGTGCAGAGCATGCAAATAACCCAAATAACAATCAGAGCTCCCATGCTTACGTTGGACTTACTTTGGCCACCCAGGTTAACACAAACTCTGAGCTTGGAACTGTCAGTATAAAATAACTTTTTGTGCAAGAAGATATTCTGGTGGCAGCATCAAGGGATGGGGAGTCTATGCCAGGGTGTCCTTTCCACTACGCAGTCCCCTTCCACCATTAGAGGTTATGGCATCACCACTCATGCAGGACAGCCTGGGATGAGGGGATTCCCTTTCTAGCGAAGGAAAACACTCGTATCCTAAACACCCCTCCAGATCTGGCTTCGTGGAGATGGTGATAGAGGAGAAGCAACCGGATCCCACTGATGGAAACGGAGGGGTAAGATTTACACGGCATCCCTGTGCAGACTGGAACTCATGGGGCCTCCACATCCCAGATGGGTCTCCCCCAATATCAGGCTGCTGCTGTCTACCCACGTTGACTGTGTGCTTCAAGCCTACCCCCTCCAAGCGAGGTGGCAGATAGCCTAACAGGGACAAAAAGGAGGGAGGGGGGATCACTCCCTGTGGTGACAGACTCTCAAATCCTCCTGCAAACGGGAGAAAACCCCCAAAAACGCTTCACACTTGTTCCTTTTCCGAGGCGGTCCGCCAAAATTGTCTTTGACTTCATGCAAACCACAGTGTGCTGCTAAACAGAGCTGAAAAAAAAATCTGTAGTACCTGAGCCACCAGCTTTTGTGTTCCAGCCCATCTTTCCCGCTCCTAAAGGCTGAAGTTTAATAAACCACACATGCAACACATAATTAGAGAGAGCCGCTACACACACTGCATTAAACTGGCTAGCTGGCTTCAGGGTTAAGTAGCAAAAGGGGAACAGAAAGGGTTTTTATTTAAAAAATAAATTAAAAAAAAAAAATAAAAAAAGAAGAAATGAGAGTGAGATTGACCAAGAACACATAAAAAGTGAGAGCTGGAATTTGCATTGAAGAAATGACCCGGTATAATCACCCTCTGTCTTGTAACACTTCCTAAAGAACTTGAATTAACCATCCCAACCAGACCATGATAGTCCTAAACACTCAGCAGGCTGGGAATATTCCAAAAGTAGATTATTTTTTTTTTATTATTATTATTATTTTTTTTTTCTGAATGCTGCTCCCAGTGAGAGGCACGGACATCATCCCATCCCATCATGCTGCATCTCTTGCAGGAGTTGGGATAAATCAGAGCGAGAACTTACCGAACACGACGCCAGCAATGGCAACCAACAGAAGAGACATTAACACCTTCATCTTGCACGGACCCTTGGCTCCTGGTCACTGGGCTGCCACCACTTGTCACCGCTGGCTTTAACGGCACACCCCCCTCCCCCATGGCTTGCCATGTACCTATTCTGACCCCGGATCCAATTCTACTGGAAAAACGAGTCTGATTGAGCTATAAACGAGTTGAATGAGCCACAAAGCAGGCCCCACCTCCCGTCCATACCGTCATCTCTTTTCATGTTCCTTGGAGAAGAAAATGAGGGTTTGCGTGGTGGACAATAACTGAGATATTGTTCAAGACGGGTGCTTTGTGTCTAGGCACGATGTGTAAACTCAGGGGTATTAAAAAATCCCAACGTCTATGCCTTGCCTTGAGGCTTGGTGATATTTCTTCTTTTCTTGTAGTGGTTAGAGAGACCTGGGTGGTTTTCCACAAATCCTGGGGGAAAAAAAAAAAAAGCCAAACAAACAAAAAAAACCCCAAACAAAACAAAAAAAAATGGGAGCTGTGAACAGCAAGGCACTGAACTCGTGTACTTTTCTCTGTGTTTTCACCCTCAGCAAGGGGCCAGATTTTATCACCAGGAGCAGAAATGGAAAGCTGACTTGCAATCCCTTACTCACTGGAAAGAGCATGGTTGGGGTTTGGGTGGCGTAACACCTCTCCCCAAGCTGTGAGCCGGGTTTCAGGGGGCTGTGGGTGGGAGCACGCTGTCGCCCTCTCTCCTCTCCCTGTCCTCTGTGGACACAGGTGGCGGGAGCACTGGGAAGACAACAAAACCAGGCCACGCAAGTTTGGGTCAACGGATTCTCTCAGGGTCGCTATCCCGAGCCATTCCGGGAGGATGGTGCATGGAGAAGCCCCTCTGCTCTGAGCCAACCCTCTCCAAGAGTGGCAGCAAGCCCACAACTTCTTTGCTTGCCAAACACCTTGGCTTTCCCATCCCCAAACTGCCCCAGGCTTCTGCCTGCTTTGCCCTGTGCCTCAGGCCAGCCCCATGCTAGTAAATCCTCCTGCAACGCTGATGAGCAAGTCCGATTGTGGAAGAAAAAAACTGTAAAGAAAAAACAGTGTGGTTATGCCAGATGCCCACCCAACACAGGCTGTTAATAAGGGAAAAGAAAGGAAGGGAAAAAAGAAACAAAGATCTTGGAGATAGTCCCACCACCTTTATCTATTGCACTATCAGAGGAAATTCATTCAGGGTTAATATCACTCAAATTCTTGAAATGTGAAAAGATCTCCTGTTATTCCCAGATAAACAACCCAATCATTCTCTCCCCAGACCTAAAGCTCCAGCGACAGTGGGGGTGGTCTCATCATTTTAGCAATCCCTGACTCATTTCTAAGCAACATTTCTGGGTGATGTACACCCTGAGGAATTCGGACTCATTGTTTTCGCATTTGCCTCTGTAACGCAGTCATTATGTTGATTAGGAAAGTTTAGCAGTTATTTCCAGCCTAAAATTATCTAAGGAAAGGCACTTTGGTATATCCTTGGTTTAGCATTCCTCATGTTCTGCAGAGAATTTTATAATCCTATTAAGGAAGGGGAAAGATGATGATTGTGTTTGCTTTGTTCTTAGGGAAAAAAAAAGGAGAAAAAAAAAAACAAAAACAAAAACACAAACATGAAAAGGGGTGTGGTTTTTGGTTTCTGGTATTAAGTGGCCTCAAACAATGTGTGCTAGATGACTGGCTTCACATGCACATCTGAAATGTGATCATCATTACATTATAAGATTTCGGATGAAAGAATATATGCCAACACCCTGCTTAAATCTTGTGCCCTTCTTCAGTCTGGAGGGTTGTTTGTC